CTATAGTCCCAGCTACTTAGGAGGCTGAGGCAAGAAAATTGCTTAAGCCCGAGAGTTTGAGGTTTCTATGGGCTGTGATGCCACGGTACTCTACCAAGGGTGACATAGTGAGACTCTGTCTCAAAAAAAAGAGAGAATTAGAAAGTCTGATGTCCAAGGGCAGAAGATGAATGTCCCAGCTCTAGAAGAGAGAGAAAGAATGCACCCTTCCTCTGCCTTTTTGTTCTGCTCTCAACAGATTGGATGAAGTTGGCCCACATTGGTGAACATGGATCTTTTTTACTCCATCTAGTGATTCAAAGCTAATAATCACTTCTGGACACACCTTTCACTGACATGCCCAGAAATAATGTTCTACTAGCTATCTGGACATTTGTTAGTCCAGTCAGGTTGACACTTAAAATTTAACCATAACACATGCAAACATGTGTTATTGGCAAACACATGAGGAGGTGAGAACACTCATTCATTACAGGTAGAAATAAACACTGGCACAGGCATTCTGGAAATCAGTCTCACACAATTGAGCATAATCTGTATATAGAAACCTTTTGACTAAATGGTGCCATTTCTGGATCTACATCCCCAAGAAATTTTCATATATGTCCACAGAAGATGTGAAAGGACATGAAATATAATGTTCATCTACATATTATTTGTGGCAGAGAGGTGCTGGAAGCAACTCAAGTATCCCTCATTAAAAGACAAGGAAAGTAAAATATGGAAGATGCATAATATGAAGCAAAGTGTAACAGTAAAAAGAAACAATCTGGCTGGGTATGGTAGCTCACCCTGGTAATCCTAGCACCTTGGGAGGCTGAGCTGGGAGGATCACTTGAGGCCAGGTGTTTGAGGCCAACCTGGGGATCAGACTCAGGCCCTTATTACCTCTACTAAATAAATAAATAGAAGAAACAATCTCTCAACATATTTCACAAGAAAATGAGGAAAAATATTAACACAACATTTTTGTGTTAAAAGCAATATAACAAATTTTATAAGATTTTATATATAAGTCAAAATATCAAACATATTAAAGAAGATTCCATAAAGGAAGCATGAAGGGATAGAGAGAAAGAAGAAAAAAGAAAATGATTTAAGTGAGAGAACTCTTACACAGAATGGTAGTGACAATTTGCAGGAATGTGTGAGTTCAATTTTTAAAATCATGTGTTATGTGTATATACTAAAATATTAATAGCGGTTATCTCTGGAAGTTATTTTTGGTGAATCTTTTTTTCTAGCTTAAGTAGATATTGTGTAATAAGTAAAATGCATTTCTTTATGTTTTAAAAATGTATCTGAATACTCAGAACTACTTTCCTAATGTTGGACAAATGTATAATGACCTACTAAATTCAGCTGCCTGTGTGGCCACAGTTATTTTATTGTTTTTCCACAATGTTCCAAAATAGCTCTGGAACAAGACCTGTGGGACCACCAGATAGCTATCTAGCCTCACCCTTCTTCTCATGCAAATGAAGAGCGAGCCTCCCACCCGCTTTGGCAGAAACCTCTGTGGGACACAGGATAACAAGGCCCTCTCCTTCTGGGCTAGGAAAAGGAGGGGCAACATTTCTAACTTTCTCTCTCAGAGCCAGCTCAGAACATCCTCTGAAAAGCTGCCTTGAACAAGCAGTTGCCAAGACAAAAGGTCCCACCTCAAGGGTGGAAACTCTATTTGCAGTTTTGTAGACACAGGTGTTCTTCCAGGCGACTTAAGACCTACAGTGTGGGACTGTTGGCCAGGAATAGCTCAGAAGGCCTTTCCCTCAGAAACCAACTCTTGAGGCCGTCAGTTTATGTTCTAACTATATTTGGCAATTCAAACCAAAGAGGTCAGTGGCTTAGCTCTGGGGCGAGGGGTTGGGGAGAGAGGCTGATTTATAATCTCTGCTTTAAACCAGGACCAAGAATTTGAAACTCACTTCATTTATTTATTTTTCACTTGTTGAGCTTACTGCTGAAGCAGCTCTCCTTCCCAGTCCTACCAGCCCTCATGTAAATCTTTTAGAACCACAGGTGTAAGTCACCTACACAAGCCATCCTTGTTTTAGAGGACATCTGAGGACATCTGGCTGGAGAACCTAAATGTTAAAATTACGCCACTTTACTTCTCCTGTCTTCATAGCACCAAAATAGCCCAGTAGCACTTGGGTGCAAATCCAGGCTCCATCGCTTATTTCTCACTGTGTGACCTTGGTTACATTATTTCATGTCTCTGAGGGGTTCAGTTTCCTTATCTATAAACAGAGATAAAAACACCTACTTCACAAGGCTGTTGTAAGAATTGAAGGAGATAAGGTATATAAAGTGGCTAGGAGAGTATCTGACACCAAGCAAGTGCTAAAAAAAGAATCCGTTTCCATTTCCCCCATCACTACCCTTCACCTTTAGCTGTTCAGCCAAGGTGTTGGCTTTTCAAGAAATTGCCTGATACCCTGTATTTGATTACAAATGGATGGTACCATTCCCCCAGCCAGCAACAGTAGCCAAAGATAAACACTGTGACTACTTCTCGGCTGCAGACAGGTCGAATCAGCTCACAAATGACTCATCACTGTGATAAATGATGTGTTCTTGGCATCGAGAGACCCTGTCTTGATACCCTTCAGCACCTTACAGAGAAGGGCTCCAGGTTGATGGTGACCTTCAGTTATCCTAAACTTGTAACCAGTCTGGTCTTAGGAGGGTCTCCAGTCCTGACATTCAGCAGGAAGGACTCCAGCTGAGCAGCGGCCCCTTTCCTCTCAGAGCTGAACCGTCCCCTTCTCTTGCCTTGGATTGTCTGAAGTCATGAGACTCCGTCTGCAAGGCTAGATGCCCGCTCCCTGCTCACAACAGCCGTAAGCTACTGCCTAACCTGCCTTTGGCAGCTTTGTTTGCTGGCTGAAGCTCTGCCAGGGTGAGGTTTGGCTGGAGGGCTCTGCGGCTATGGGACAAACCTTGGCTCAAGGAATAGGGTGAATGTTTAATCTCCAGCCACTGTCTGCACCGCTCAGTGTTTGCTCCTTTCTCCAGTTTCTGTAGCCCCTTCAGACCACCCAGAACCCACTCACCGGCATAGAAATTCCATGACTAGAATTTTTAGCCACTCTTTTCATTCATATATGCCCTGTACCTTAGTATCTGGCACAGAGTTCCCTCTAAGCGAATATTTATTTAAAGATCCTTGAGGATGGTCTGTTGCTGCATTTGTAACCTCCGCAATTTCAGTGAACCTCACAAAACTGTTAAGATCAAACAGAACAATGAACCGTGTGAGGACTGACGCAGTTGACAGTCAGGTGCTCCAAACTGAAGTCTTGTGTGATTTGAAGGAAACTCTGTGTGCTAGGGTCGTCCTTTCTCTCAAATGGAAACTACTTAGGAATTTGGGTGGTCCCCTAGCTTAGGACCTATCAGTGTGTACCCAGGCTTCTTCTCTCAGAGGGGGGCCTGTAAAGTGCAATTCCTAATTAGGAATTAGGGTGGTCCCCTAGCTTAGGACCTATCAGTGTGTACCCAGGCTTCTTCTCTCAGAGGGGG